AGTACTCAGATTCAGGTTGTAAGTCGCGAACCACGATGAGATTTTGCCTTGAATCCATTTATCCAAGCCATCTGTGGAAGAATCGTCGCAACGCTATGTGTCGATCAATTGGCTAATTTCGTAATTCGGTATCACGAACGACATGTCCCGGCTCGAGACCGGTACCCCATTGTCAATCTATAATGTCAATGCCCCGCGTTCTTGGCTGATCTCTTTTCTTTTTTGCTCGAGGGGTGCTGCTTTGATGGTTACAGAATCGAGAACCAAGACAAAACGCAAAGTCCAGACACATATTTCGGCTTAATTTGGATGAAGCGATTCAAGCTTTCAATCCATGTTGCAAAACCTCAAGATGTCGAGTCATCTTATCTTCGAAACATCGTCTTATGAAAGCGTGCGTTTTGGTGGCTTCAGTTCGGACGTGAATAGACAATGAGTAGTACTCAAAATCCCTAGCCGTATGATGTGAATAGCACATTTTCACGTGATATATGTTCACGAAAGTGGTTGATCGATCCATGAGAACCTTCGTTGAATGAGACTTCCATCCGCAGATGATCGTGTCATCTCTCTTGAAATGGACTATGACTCTTGTTATGTCCAGCATAACCTCTTTCTTCTTGCTATATATATACATTTATCGCATTGTCGACCTAGCGGTAACATCCTCAAACTACCGGAACTCTCGGAAGATGGGATGGACAACAAATCTTCACCATATCATATAATATGTTCCATTAGGCCCGGGAAATCCGGAATGCGATATGCAACAAATGATTTTGAAGGATTGAACAGTCTTCAAAGTAACTGCCACCGGAAGGCTCGGGGATGCGACATGCAACAAAATATCTATCAAGTCTTCTAGTTGCTGTCCGGTGTTTACCCTTCCCATATACTAAGATTCTTCTCGGGAAGTTCGGAAATAAGGGGTAAAAGAGAAGCAGTTGTGACAAGAAACAGCATCATTCTGCTATTGACTTTCATCCATAAACCGGATTCTTCGGATGAGATGTGCAACAAATATTCCTCTGGATGTGGTGATAAGAAGCGCTGGATACGATTGGGTATGCACATCTTTGAACTTCTTGGAAGGAGATCTCGGGTAAGACAAACACAAGAAACACCTACCCCTTTTCAGTTTGATTCTGGCACTTTTCCGGAAATTTCGTAGGTAAGACATGCAACAAAAATCTCTTCGTGGTGGTAACGTGATGCCCTGTATTAATATGTATATATCTACCTGCTCCCATTATTGAGGGATTCGTAAGTCAGATTTACGAAATAACTCAAACGACTAGGAATCTAGAGCAGGTAAGATGTGCAACCAACGACCTCCTCGAATCTTCTGGAAGGGATTGCCTGTACATTCATTCACCTCGGAAGAAGAATCTGCGAAAGTGTATCCAGGAAGCATCGTTCTAAGCAAACATTAATTCAATATCATCGGAATACCTGAAGGTGAGACGTGCAACAAGACTCCAGGTGAACACCTGGCTTTCCATCGACTGCATGACTGGATAGTGGGAAGCCTTCCTTCCTCTTAACTTTTGGGTGGAGGGATGGTTTGAGAAGGAGAAAGAGGGCGACTTGCAAGTTATCGGTGGTCTTTGAAAGTCGGTTTGGATTTTATGAGGGGTTGATATTTGGGCATTCAGGGGGGAGGAAGGGGAGAAGGCGGACGAGAGATGTTGGAGTTATGGATAAGTTATGTTCTTTGTTTTTGGAATTTTATTGTCGGGTGCTTATGTGTATTGTAGTTCAATCTCACACTTCATGTTTGTGCGCCGTTAAATTTCTTTTGGATTTCAAATTTGAAGATGATATATTGTTTCTTCCACGTTAAAAGCCCATGCCAAAGTTGTAGAGCGGGCTTGAGACAATACAGAATGATTATTTTGAAATCTCTAGTCTGGCATTTCAAGAATATGAGAATTGATTTATTGATCTATGATGTCTTATTCTAGATATTGTAAATTCACCATTTCTATAATATCTTGATGCTCGTGTGTGCATATTTATCCAATCCATGGATATTCTGGAACCTGTTACCAGTCCCCTTTACACTTCCTCAAATCCACCCCATCAACATCTATCCATTAGAAGATATACCTAAAATTCTCATTCTCCCTATCTGTCAAGTCTGCAAAAGCAGTATCATCCAAATCCCTCCTTCTCCTTTCCTCCTCATCCTCATCCGCAAATTCATCTCCCTGCCCCTCTCTCGCCCCACTCGCCACATCAATTCCCTGCTGCAAATCCCTCTTCTCGTTTTCCCTCTTCAACAAAAATCTCAAAATTATAATCAACACGGCTTCCGCTAAATGCGCCACAATCATACTCCATATTCCCAATTGATATTTCGGAGCCTGAGAACTCTTATAAAAGAACGGACCGGAAATATTCCCCACGCAAAGACCTACAAAAAGTGTCGCGTTCGTGAGGATCTTCTTTGTGTGGCCCGCGGTATTGGCCGACAGTACTGAGAGTAATAATACAAAAGAGGCATTGTAGGGCCCGGTTAGGTAATACATTATGAGACGAGGAACCTGGTGAGTCTGAGGCAGAAATTGAAGTCCGAATGCGCCAGTGATGTTGGGGAGGAGAAAGATGAGGATCATGATACAGCGGTTATTGGGAGGTAAGCGATCGTTGAGGAAGACGCAGAGGAGGATGCTGAGGGCAATGAGAACACCGTAGGGGATTTGCATGATGGTTGTTATCACTTTTATTTGTTAGTTGTGATTCATGTATTTATTCATGATTTTTTGACAACAGTCGCAAGGAAAACGAACAACAAAGAAGAAGGGGAAACTTACAAGTTGAATATCCAAACCCTTTGATGATCAAGGTACCAAAATTGCTAATTCCTCCATTTGGAATATTCGCCACAAGTCCAATCAAGAAGAACAAATACGTTTTGTAATCTCCCGCCCATTCTTTTACCTGTTTCCATTTGAAGGTTTTATTTTCCACCCCCGTTTGATTTTCCCTCAATCTCTCCACCGCCATCCGCTTCTCATCAATACTCAACACCCTTGCCGTAACAGGACTGTCAGGTAGGAAGAACCACAAGACAATTCCCCATATACAACAACAAGCTCCGACGATCAGAAATTCATATTTCCACGACGCTAAAGACCCGCGGATATTCCCGATCCCGTAGCCAATGAGCCCTCCGAGTGCAATTCCCACACCGTTGGCGGAATACCAGAGGCCGATTCGGATCGGTTGCTCGCGTCGCGTGTACCACATGGATGTAATGATCATGAAAGAGGAATCACTACAGCCTTCTGCGGCACCGGAGAGGGCGCGGAGCACGGCAAGTTCGGTGAAGTTGCGTGCGGCGGCTGTTGAAGGTCAGCGATATGAATCACGAGGGAGTGGGCTTCAGCCTCAAATGCAAGAGGAAAAAGGAACTCTTACCTTGACACATCAGAAGAGCACCCCACATGAAGATATTGAAAGCGAGGTATTTCGCGACCGGAAACTTCTGCATCAAGTAATTGGTGGGGAAGGCCCAGGCAAGCCAGCCAAAATAGAAGATACTTGAAAGCCAGGAGTATTTTGTCCCTTCGAGATGAAGGTCATCTTTTATACCAAAGATAGCGGCATATGAAAGAGTAGTTTTATCGATCTAATTCGTGTAAGCAATTGTTTTGTCATTGCTGGGGGGGAAAAAGAAGAAAATCAAAGTATGAGGAAGAAAGTATTGACATACATAGTAGAACATATAGCAGACAGCTAAACAAGGTAAAATGACCATATCGATTTTCTTAATCAATTTCCTCTCTTCGACAGGATCAATCGCTTGATGTAACTGTTCCGTATCTTGGAATAAAGCAAGAGCTGTATCGCCCTCTGGCTGTTTCCTCTGCGATGGCTTCCATGCTGGCAATGAAGATTGCGGAGAAAGGGTGTCGAATTGAAGATTCCCTTGTTGAATTGGGGGACCCTCGAGATGAGTTACTTCTCCCTCTCCTTGTTTATTTTGATCCATGGTTCTATTATCCCTCTGTCTTAATTTCCTGGAGAAGAAGGGAAATGGCAAAAAGTGAAAAGCCCCTCGATACGTGACTTTTCGAGACGAATTATGTAGTGGTACCAACAATTAAGTAGAGCTCAAAAGACGCGCGATAAATCAATCCTCGTCTCCACCTCATCGGCGTTGAAAACTTGACAATGAGCGAGCGGTTAAACAAAGGCAATGTAATCGGCAATTAGTATTGAAAATCATATAAATTGAGTAATTCCCCATGTATTATGTGGAATAGTTCGGGGTGATGAAGATACGAAGCTAACATATGGAGCGTCCCCGCGGGGTATCCTGAACTCCCGACTGGGGGAGAATCTAAAGACCCCAGATCTCCAACCCCGCCCTTTTCCGACAGTAAGTTATGAAGATTCTTGGTTGCTTGCATCATTATGCGTCGATTAGATAAATGTTTGTTTATCCGTCAATCAATCGAGGAAGGTTACGCGCGAGCTTGGTAGAGATTGGCTAGATCGGCTAGTTATCTCTAGATAGGTATTGTCAAAAATTGAGCGAGCGGTAGTCATTGACGGGAGAACACTAGAGTGGGAGAGTGGGATGTGGGGGGAAATGTGTTGTTGAACTGTGGAGTATCATTTATATTCCCTCGTGACCTTGAGCTAGATTCTTACCTAGCCCCTAAACATGCACGTCGTCAATGGATGAAATAAAAAATACCTCTAATTTCTTTGCTAGAGGAAGATGGAAGTAGCGCACAAGACATGTGTATTATTCGCGAGTCATATGTGCTTAGAACTCACCACGGCCGTTGACATAAGATCATCTCTCACAAATCCACGAGTTGGAACATTCAAAAGGAACAAGAATGACTATTCAGTCTGTCGTATTTCCATACAGAATAGAGTAAACCAAGCTATTCCTAACTTGAGGCGCCATGACGCTCCGTTGGTCCTCATGGAGGCACTTCTGTAGAGGCAAACTAATTGTGAACGATTTTTTATTTACTAGAACACCACAGGTAGAAGATTCTAGAGCACTCATGAAAAGCACGAGAAAAAGATACGCGACGGTGTGCAAACTCAACTTAATTTGACCCTAAAAGATTACATACAAAGATAAATGATAACGGCAATTTGGTCCACGGAATAATTGTGAATGCTGAAAGCAAGCAAAGAAGTTCCATTCATAGCATTCACTTTTGTCTATAGTTGTAACTCCATCAATCCATCCCAGGTAAGCGTAAGGAGATATCGAAAATCCGCCCATCAACCATAAGCAACATTAACAACTCCCATAATTTCATGCATTCGAAATCAGTCCTTCGTTCATGATTCATAAAATCACATGTCGTCTTCCACCGTCATGACCCAGCCTTCCAAATCCTATACTCATCCAGATAGAGGTGCCTAGTTGCATCCACAGCTCAAAAATCCACTAGCATGATAAAATTTCCCTCCATCCATAACGCCCGTTCCAACACAAGTTCCCACACTCTGCACACCCTGCTGCGCGACTCCCAAATCAAAAGTCTGAGTAACACCACCACTACAATCGGTGACTCCTTTCCAGATACTATAGGTGCAAGCCGTATCAGCCGGGAAAAGCATGATACCTTGAGTTAGGATATTGACGCAAACACCAGCGGTGATGTTTCCTGAGAAAACATTAATGCCGCATTGGGATGGGGATTGGTAGCCTTGGTAATAATCGAGTTTGGTGGTGAGGCTGGAGCAGGTGGAGACTGGGGAGGTGGAAGCAGGAACGGGTACCGGGGAAGCGAGGACGGCGGTGAGGAGAGTGAGGGGGAGAATGGTCTGAAGATTGTTAGTGTGCATGTATTGAAATGGGGGAAAAGGGATGGAGACGAACTGTGTAGAGCATTTTGATTGAGTTTAGACAAGGATGTAGTTTGGGTTGGTTGTTTGGATGATAGTGATGTTGATGTTTGAGTTTGAGTCCGAATGGTTCTGTGTGGCAGTTGTAGTGGTTATCGAATAAAACTGGAGTTGGATATAAGGTGTTATTGTATGATGAGGATAATCGAAAGCTCAAAGCATAGAGCCAACACCAGTATATATAGTTCTCACATCCTATCTCACCCCATCTCACCTTCGCCCCTCAGCACCATTACCAAACCAAAATGTCAAGCAACGTTGAATCAAGAATGAATTTTCGTCCCACTATTTGTGAGTAATACGACATAACATGATTATACAGGGTCCTAGCCTTGTTATTTACATACATTCTTGACGCTTCCTCCACGCAACACAGTAAGATGCATGAATATGCAGTTCGTGTCTTCCCACTCTATACGATAGCCTGACAGGTGAAAGCACGGGCCGATTGGAACTCACGCTGTGAAGCACGAGAGCCTCGTACCATTAAAATATTTCCTCAATGATATCAAGACCAGAGGGCGTCAAGAGGCGGGTTCCGAAATCGTGGTTGACTTGCACTAGCATTGACAGAATCAATTACATGATCATATTATTTTTTCACATTTGAACATGTGTAATTGAGAGGGGAAAAGAGCAGGATGACGTAGGTATGTTGGATCGAAGCCATACACATATTGACTTCAAATTCCAGCTTGCATACTGAATGCGTCGTGGAAGCTTCCAATCTACAATTATCCATGAATTTTGATAAACAATAGCGAATCAATTGAGCGAGGTTCGTTCGCACTGGTAATCAAGTAAAGTAATTCTGCAAATCAACATACCATGCTGAAGATTATTTTCAGCCCATGGACTCGGTTTTGCATAGCTGTGTCTCATCGATCCCTAGCAATATATCTCGTATTGAGTAGGGTATTTGACAGCATGGAAAAGTGTTTCCACATTCGATTATCTCGGCATCGAATACTATCCGATAGGTTATTCGGATGATATTGATGGACCTGCATATGTATAACACTAGGAACTGAAAATGAAACGTAAGTGCATCTCAATCATACTCAATAATGTTCTGCAAATCCTAAAATAAGATGGGTGTCCGATTGTGTTGTTCTAGAGCATAGCCTATCTACAATAATGATAACCATGAATGCATGGTAATAATGTGAAGATGTGAGGGGTGTAAACGTGGCTGATGATGACTGACTTAAGCGAATTTATGTTACCGGATTTTCAACACCGACCGACTTTGAGGTTACATCGTAAAACGTCCCGCGAAACGTTCGGATTTACAAGCCCCAGGGTCCCGTTCCGTAAGCATTGAAGAAATACAAATAAACATATAAATAGAAACAATCCGGAACGTCCCGGTATTTATGAAGAAATTCTCGAGAATCGAGGAATGCTGTCGTAACGTTGCTCGCGAGAAAAATTCGTAAAGATAGATAGATAGATAGATAGATAGTGGTGTAGGATGATAAAAATTCCAATGAGTGATAAGAGGATTGAACTTTCCCATAATGCTCAAACATATCGTATATCTTTGTTGACATAATAGTAGATTGTGATAAAAATAGTTGATAGGACTATTCAACTTGTTGATTGATACAATGATCTGCGCCGAGACTTTAGCTACAGGAAGTTTTCCTATCGCGGTACGGGCCGTGCATTGCATCACATAAGGAATTGTTGAATCAATTGATATGTAATGTATGGCAGACCACTCGGTCATATAAAACCGCCGAAGTCAATATTGAACATGAGAAATTCAGAAGATATCGTGTTGTTGAGTTGTTGTGAAGACGTGGGATGATTGTTAAGCGACACAGACATCTAAGTGGGATGGATATCTTGGCCCCTCTTTAGCTTGGAAGTAAAGATTCCAGCAAAAAAAATTCAGCTCGTATGGTTCGTTGATGGAAGCAGCTAGAAGAATGAAAGATGAGGGTGTTACTTGTGATGGTTGATTTATACCGGAAGAAGTGCAGATCACTGTGTTACCATGGCATTTGACATCAAGCCAGGAAGCCGTTACACCTTCCAAAACGCCACTCATAACACTTGATAGAAATTGTACTTACTTCTAGAACCCTTTTTGTCCGTGCGAAATATGAAGAATGAGACCAGACTTGCATAACATCATGTTGTGTGGGTGTCCAATAATTGAGATTAGCAGACGAGATGTGAGCTTTGAAGCAAGGTCCTGGAAAATAATCCACTGTATTAAGTGAATTCATTTGGATAATTCAGATGGTTGAATGTTGCAATGACTTGACTGCTTTGAAGATCTCCGATGGTTGAATGGTCTTCATATACCGGGCGATTGGAATTCAGTAAGGAAATGATTTTCATTGTCAGAATACAATCCAGACTATGGGAAACCCTGCATTATTCGGCATGTTGTTGAACATTGAAAATGAATATATTGCATCGTGTCTCTGTAGTGATATCACTATGAACGCCAAATTCTTCGAAAAAATTACATACTTCCAATCCTCGCGAACAATCATGCAGCTCTTCTGGCTGTTGTACTCATTAATGTAATTTTCTTACCCTTTTTCTTCTTCCCTTGAGGTGCTGGTGGAGGTGTAGCACTTGAACTACTTTCTCCGTTCAAGGACGCCGCTTGAATTTGAGCAATCAATGCATCATTCTCTGCTTGAAGCTCTTGTTCCCAACCCGGTAGCCAACCATCGTCCGCATTACTATTGTACTGAGGATGAAGATCAGGCGAAGATGGTGTCACCAGTGTCGTTCCCCAAACAGTTCTTGGCGCAGGAGGGCTCGTAGATGGTGAAGCTAACGCTCCGAAAGAAGAGCCTTGACGTGAAGTCCAGGGAGGAGATGCATCGATCGGGTCAATAGATGCTGATGCGAGCTGGGTGTAATCGATGTCGGAATAATTTGCCGGGGATATTTCGGGTTGCTTCTGTCTAGCCGTGGCCCAACGTGCATTATCCTCTGCTTTTTCAGCACGTTGTCTATCTTTCTCCTCTCGAACCTCCTTGTCCCTATTACGTTTTCTTCGTCGCTCAATATCCTCTTTGAACTGATTCAAGATTTCCGGTTGAACAACATCAGTCCAATTGCATTCCAAAAATCCTACTTCGCAGCCAAATGGTAAATGTGCTAAATATTTGGTTCTTTTTCTCAATTCATCATCCATCACGTGAGTGGATACTCGTTCGACGCGGGGAAGTAATGTTGAAGGAAATGATGCAAAATTTCCAAATGCTGATTTGAGAATTCTGATATCGAGGGGAGCAAGATAATAATGAAGAAGAGCTTGATAAAATAAATATGGGGCATCTGAATGTCTCTCATTTGTTTGGGCATTCTTTGGACGTAATTGCCTGTCGGTTTGTTGCATGCTCCCTGAATGGGATTGTGAAGGATCTGAGATCGGAACAGGATTGGACGAAGGTGGTGGTGGAGTCACTGTCGAATCCAATTGGAAAGGAACAGCTGATGGAGATAGCGTTGAGGTTTGCTGGACATAATACATCTCTGGAGAATTTTCATCGACAGGATTGAACTGTATGGGTTGCCTTTTGGGCTTCTTCTCTGTTGGCTGACTTGGTGGAGGTGGCGGTCCACCAATACCTTTTACTTTCTCCTTCGCATCGTTTACAGAATTGACCGCTTTCCGAGTCCACTCGGGTTCTTCTCCAAACATCAATTCATCCTCATTCTCTTGTTGTTTCAATGCCTCGATTTCCAATCCAAATTGTTCTATCATATATTCCTCACTTCCTTTCATGATTCGAGCATAATCCGTAACCTCGGCAGCGAAATACCATGGAATATCTTCCGATTTGTCGAGTACATCCGCACCATCTCTTGGCAGTGCCAAAGTGCTTCCAGGTTGTCGCATAACTAATCGTAATACCACATCTTCTCCTTCACGAGGGGCCGGCCCTTCTTGTCCAATATACCATCTGACGGGTCTCGTTTCTGAGCTATAGACAGTATCCCAACAGATTGGACATGCCTTCCATCGAGCCTTTTTCTCCGGTAGAGGATTTGTGTCGTCGGTTGAGTGCATGTAGCGAATGAGACATGGTAAACAAAAAATGTGTCCGCATTTTGCCATTCGAGGAGCTACAGGATGCGAGAGACAGATTGGACATGACGTATCTTGTGATTCGGCAGATGCAAGAATTTGAAGAACATCATTCCAGTCTAAAGGCTGGTCTGCGAACAGAGCTTGTTGCTTGTAATCTCCATTTGGCCTGACTATAAATCGGTAATTGGCGTGAATATACCTAGCTTTATCACTAGAATGATGACCAGATCCAATTCCATATATATTCCCACGTCTTGTTCCTCTTGCGATTGTGTTTCGATAATCCTGTGGCCTAGGTGGAAGAGCGAAACTCATAAGATGTGTAATTGATGTTTGTCCTCTTCGACTATTGGCATTTCTCATAGCCGCCTAGCAGTATTAGCACCACTGATTGACTGTAATCTGCTTGTGAAAATGAAATATCCTAATCATCTGCAATGAGCTGATATTTTGTACTATGCCAATTGCTTGCAATCTACCACTGGAACAGGAATGCAAATAATGGGAACGTGAAGAAATGTACGACTTACGGATTCCGCCATAGCATCCTCATCCGCGAGCCTAGGTTTCTTGGAATTTCTATGTTGTTTTCGTTGACTTTGGTTGTTTCTAGCAGCCGCAGATACACCACTTGATTGACTACCAGAGCGCCTTGTATTTGACTCGAAACTTGGAGATGTGATTTGACTCTGCTGTTGTTGAGTGGGATTATGTGCGGTATTGAGAGATTTTCCACCAGGCGATGACGCGCTTTGCTGGACGGGGTTCATAGTTCCAAGTCTATAGATATGGAGACTTCTCAATGTTCCAATCCAGGCTTGATAATCAAATGATCCCTCAGGCTGGGAATTTGATTGTACGTGTAAGAGGGAAGGATCAGATGATATGATATGGCTCCAAGTGGTGTATCTTCATATGTCCTATGGTGACGTCTGGTTGCTTGATAGAGTTGTTGCACTTTTCAATGTTCTCGATCCGATCCGATTTGATAATCGTCGGTCCCTCGGATAAGACAATTGCTCTTGATACCTATGTAAAGCTGTGGTCGAAAAGCCGGAAATATAAAGTTAGGGTAGAACGATTGGACAAAAAGAATGAGATGGTAAGAACGGGCAAACTCATAAGACAAAGTAACTTTACTATGAAAAGTAAAAAGATCCAGGTAGTTTGATTTTGGAGAAGATTTCAGGCGCCACAAGGACGTTGTTGATAGATCTGGAGGACAGGAAGAGTCACTCCAGATTACTTAATGAGGAGGGGCGATTTGAAAGTTCCCTCAATGTTATCGGTAGGTAATCTTGTAGGGAAACATTAGAGACATAAGGCGCAATTAGACCGACCGTTCGTCATATCAGCCAGTGCCCTCTACTCAGGTCAGGTACTCACAAATAGCTAGGTATGTATAGTGGGTATGTCTGAGACCATGAAGAAATGTATGAAGATATATTTTGACTCACTTCAAAGCATTACCTAGGTATATTGTTAGTTAGAAAGACCATGTACATTTCCACCTCACGTGTAATATCAAATGATTTATTTCTTACATCGTTCTAGTCGGCATACAATGAGAGCCCGTCCAGTTTAATTCTCCTACCAGTACGAGGGACCTAGGTAGGCTCGGTAGGTAGGTAGGCAAAGATTACATACACTCCTCTATCATTTGTTTCATTTGTTTGGGGGCAAAAAGTCTTGGCAAGGCTTTCACTTTTTTGGCTCAGTCATCTTCTTTTTTGATCTCCATAATTTTGGAGGACTTCGGAAATCTACCTACCCCAAATCCAACAGTATAACCCAACATCATATATTTAAATAATAGTTATATCAATAGCTTTATTTATGCAGACTTATCGTTGAAGGTACTGCCATCGCGCGCTTTGAAAATATAGAGATATCTTTTCTATTTAATGCGCTAGTACTTTGGAGAACACACTCAAAAGAGCTCCCCCCATCTAACGAAGAGCCAATATCAGTTTTGCGCGACAGCTCCTGCCAATTCAAACCAACCTGGACAAGGTAGGTTTGGAAAGAACCAACTTCAGCAAGCCGGCATGATGAACGGTCGTCATCTGCCGGCAGGGCAAGGTATGCAACAAGACCTGGGAAGACGGAGACCTTACAGTCATCAAGCTCAACCATATCCACCGGCGGCACCTCTGTACAATGGGTACATGCACCCGTACAACGCGAATTATTACCATCCACAACCATTGCCTCCTCAATATTATAATAACGGCTTGACTCAACAGTATAACCCATACCAACACTATGGTCGTTCGCCTCCGCCAATGATGACGCATTATACCCAACCACCACCACCTCCGCTTCAACCCCAAGCACAACCTTTCGTTCGACCTCAACCATCTCCTGCTATTGCTGCCTCTCACCCGCCAGTAATTGCGTCGTCTTACCAACCAGCTCCTGCGCCTCCACTGCCTCAAACTCCCTCGAGTTTCTCGACACAATCGTCCAACACCCTTTCTGCAGGACCTCTCACGCCCCCAACTCCACAAATACAACCTGTTGCTCAGTCTCCACCTCCAGCTCCCAAACATCATATACCTTTTCAGGCACCTGTATGTTATACCCTCAAAAAACGCATTACTCAATTGCTGACATCACAACTAGCTGCCTTGGGTATCCCCTAACACCACTGCACCCTGGCCGACCAGACGGCGTCGGAAAAGAAAGCAGAGTCCAGAGTTGTCTATGAATCCTGTGGAGCTTCCAAGTCTAGACAAGGAGATTGATACTGAGTCGAAGAAGGGCGTGGAGACGTCAGAATCATCGTCAGAACCAAAGCCGAGCACTGAAGAAGCTTCAGAGCCTACACCTGAAACACCTACCACTACCCAAGGTCCATCAGAAGATACTGAATCTACAGTGCCAACTACTCCATCTTCTACAAAAGCTTCGTCCCTACCTGCAGGTGGAGAAGTAACTCCTGTGGCAACAAAATCCCAGCGAGCCACTGTCCCTGCTGTCCCTGCCGTCCCTGCCATACGTGCCATCCCAAAATCTCAACCTAAAAGTACGCCATCGACGAATTCTCAAAATACCAATGGCGAAGTTACAGCTGAGGCAGAACTGACTAAGTCCGAAGTGACGAATGAGACTGGAGCCAATGGCCCTACTACTGAAGAAGTCAAGGCAACACCTCCCCCTGCTAAAGCATGGGCTACACCAAGAGCTTGGACTGGTCTTTTTGGTTCATCTGCCGCTCCTACAGCTCCTACTACTGTCAATGGTGGACAGAATGGATCCTCCGAATTTGGCAAGAACAATTCTGAGTCACTAGCTGAAGCATTACGTTCATTCAAGGCCGAAGCCAAGGACACCAAAATATCATTTCTTGAGCCTCGAGGTCTAGTGAACACTGGCAACATGTGCTATATGAATTCGGTTTTACAAGTTCTCGTTTTCTGCACCCCTTTCTATGACTTTCTTGACCAAGTTAGCAAGAAAGCAGCGCATAGCTTCAAGAGTCAAACACCTTTAATTGATGCCATGTAAGTACCAACAACGGATTTGGTGTGATTGTCACTAACGACCTACAAGGATTATGTTTATGCGGGAGTTTCAAGTTATTGATTCTGCAAAATCAACTGAGCAACTCAAAATGAGACTCAAGGACGGAGAACTTGAGCAATATGGAGATTCTTTCACGCCAGATTTTGTCTACGATGTTATGCGACGTCTACCAAGATTTGTCACAATGCAGGTTAGTTTGAGTGTATCCTTTGAGTTTGCATTTACTAATATATGACATAGAGAGGACATCAACAAGACGCGGAAGAATTCCTTGGCTTTTTACTTGAAGGGCTTCATGATGAATGTGTACATGTCATGAAGTCAAGTGACTCGAGCAAAAATTCGGCTGTCACCACACCCATGAACGTACCTTCGTCTCCTATCAGCGATACTGCGAGTCGACGCGGATCTGTTGATGACGTATGGCAACAGGTTGGGCCTAAACAAAAAGCTGCTATCACCAGATCTTCTGGAACTATACTTACTGGTTCTCCAGTCACTAAAATCTTTGGTGGTAGCTTGAGATCCGAATTGCGTGTACCAGGCTTGAAAGACTCCATTACTCTTGAGCCATATCAACCACTACAATTGGATATCGGTTCTCCGGATATCCATAACATCGTTGATGCCTTGAAAGGCCTAACACATTCAGAGGTTCTTCATGGCGATTTCAAGTCTCCTAAGGGTCCCAACGTAACCGCGACAAAGCAAGTATTCATAGAGACAGTACCCCCTGTACTCATCTTGCACTTGAAGCGTTTCCAATACGACAACACCGGCGGCACACAAAAGATTTGGAAGAAGGTTGGATATCCTTTGGAACTCGAACTACCAAAGGAAGTCTTCCCAAGAACTAAGCGTAGTGTTTTTGCTCATGATGGCTACCCAAAGTACCGTCTAATTGGCGTTGTCTATCACCACGGTAAGAATGCCAGCGGTGGACACTATACCGTAGACGTTAGAAGACAAGATGGGAAAGAGTGGATCAGACTTGACGACACTGTTATCAAGCGTGTAAGGAGTGAAGATGTAGCTGAAGGAGGAAGCGAAGAAGATCCCAAAGTTTTGGCTGCTGCTTTGGAGGCCCACAAGAAGGACAGTTCATCGTCGGGAAACATTTTTGCTTCAATTGGAGAAGAAAATGGAGAAACTGAAGAGGATGGATGGAAACAAGCCAGTGGATCTGGAAAGAAATGGTCAAGCGTATTAAATGGCGCTTCTACACCAAAGTCCAAACCTGCCACTGGATACGGGGCTGGTAAATCCTCACTCATGGATAACAAGGTCGCGTATCTTTTGTTCTATCAGAAAGTATGAGGGTCTTGTTGGTGTAATGATAGGGCTGGGCACGGTGGATAGAGGGATGAAGAGGACGGCGATGATCGATGGAGGAGGCCGGACAGGTCGTTGAATGGGATGTCATGATTGATTCTCAAAATTATGAATATTACGAGAAAATGAGATGAAATGACGAGAAGAGAGACGATTCGTGCTGAAGGTGCGGTCCCTTTCAGAAGTTAGGTATCCATGTTTCGCTATTCAGCAACGAAATTTTGGATGGGCGGTTGACCTAGTCTTATATTAGGGTTAACAAAAGATGCATTGCAACTTTCTTGTACATTACTTATTCGGATAACTTCCGAATTTTGGCATCATTTCTATGGCATGAGCGGTTGGCGCATGTTTAGGTAGGGAATTGGCGCGCAAAATACAGTATATGTTACGAGGAAGTTCTATGTATAATATCTAATGGTTATTCGCAACCGACCACGGCAATAAAAAATTAGCGATGAATAAGGAGTCACATAATGTTAGAGAATGTATTTTTGTGTTGGACTCAGCTGGGATGCATAGAGTGAAACGCAAGTCCGATCATGTTGAGCTGCCTGCCTACCTAGGTATAAAGATTAACCAAGCATCATACGTCCGGTTGGTGATACAATGTTTCGACTATTCCTTTTATGTTTGAATCGATGAGTTGGTTGAGGCAAATAGCCCCGCAACTATTTGTTGTCACTACCTAGACAACACTTATTACACTTAATACACCTGATACACCCAATACGTCTAATACCTACATAACTATACATTTAATACGTCTAATCAAGACTACCTGACTAAACACTATTATCGATATCGTATTCGTAACTTAAGGTTAATAGGTGGTAGGTACACCCATACGCACATTGTTATCCTTGCCCCTTTATTAAACTCATGTAAAACGTAATTTGTCAATTAAGATCCCCATCTTTTACTAGGGTTACTCGATTCTCGAAGGCTTTATTTTAAGGAGTCGCAGGGGATAAATGAAGATCAATCCGACCCAATGTATGGCTTCCGAGTGGCTCGACTGAAATGGGAAACGGGAACTAGTAAACAAATATTAATTTTAAATAATTCCCAATGTAAAATGGAGACTGATTTGATTCTCATAATTTTGTTGACACTTATTCTTGTACGCGTATGAAATCATGATCTTTGAGCTTCTATTATAGCACTTTCCTTACAAGCGCTGCATTTGAAATTACATGTGGTAATTTATTGGTTATACTCGTCCCAACTATCGTTCGTTCCGAAATTACAAAATGTCTGAAGGACGCGAAAGATATTCTTTGCGGCAGACGCCAAAGTAAGTACTCACTGTTATCTGTTCTCTTCTATTTTCATTGGAGAGAGGAATCTAACAATTTATATAGAA